AACTATTAAATTATTTAATAAATCATCAAGAAATCAGACCTCTTTCTAATTTTCTCAATTCAAAGATGATCATTTTCCACATTCTAATGACAAATTGCTCACTATCGTCATCCAAGACCTTCTTAACAACTTTATTTATAATTGTTTATGGCTTCTCACGATTAAATAATCTTTTGATGATGGCATCAATAAATACTCTCTCCTCTTGTGATAAATATTCTATACACCTCTCTCTTAGCCATGGACGGATCTTTTTCTCCAATAAGTTAGACTTGGAATTAACTAAATATATAATTAATACCTAGGCAAATAGCTACCAATTAATTTAAGTATTAAATAATTCTTCTTTTTCAGTAGGGATGGTTGCAAATATTTATTTAAGTTCTTCTTTCAAATCAATTTCCTTTTATAATTTCTCTTATTACATTTATTCAGCTTATTCTATTTATTGCTAGTTTTAAATCAAATATAATATAGAATTATTACTTGTTGCTATTGCAATTGTTATTATGTATATTAAGGTTCTGGTTCAGGTGGCTCTTAAACAATAACTACCATTTAAGGTGGTTCAGGTTCAGGAGGTTTTTGGGTCTTTAATAATTCTTTCTTTTTAAAGATTTCATCTTCTTCAAATTCCCTTTACCTGAATTTCTTTCTTTCGTTCATCTTAATCTTACCAATTTATTTACGTTCTTATTCACTGTCATAAGCTAATTCTTTTTCTAGATATTTTTAGAAATTTTTCTCTCGATCTATCTCTCTCTCTTTTTCTTTTTTTCTTTCTCTCTCTCTTTCATCCTCTTTTTTCTTCCATTCTGTCATTTTCTCTTTATATTTTCTCTCTAATTCTGCTTTAGTATTATGTTTTTTAGCATCTCTTTCTCTCTCTCTTGGATGTTCTTTCTTTTCTTCTTCTCTTTTTTTATCATTTTTAGTTTTAGTTACTGTACCTTCTAATTCTGATATAATTTTTTCTAACTTCTTTTTTATTTTTTCATCATCTCTAGTAATATATTCTTAAAAAGATGTAAATTTAAATAATGCTCTATGTTCCTCTTTTTATTTATCCTTCTCTTCTAATTTAGCTCTTCTCTCTTCCCATTCTGTTTCTTTTTTATACATCCAACCATCTATCATCATTTATGATTTCTCTCCACCTTTTACAAGTAACTCCTTCTAGTTCAGAATCATACCATTAAGAAGGCGCAAACATTTTAATACACTTTCCATATTTTCAAATTCAGCATATCCAAAAGCTGTACCTTTTGATCTCTTCCATGATACTAATTGACCACATTCCTAACTAACTTTATAAAATTACTTTCAAAAGCTTTTCAACATTATCATTTGTTAATTCTTAAGGAAGGTTCTTTATAAATAGTTTCTTAGCTTCTTAAGGTTCTTGTATTTAACTTTTTGGATAAAAATCTTATTGCACTCCTTAAGGAATGTCTAAGTCTTGTAATCCTGGAACAGGAAAAAATGGTAACATAAAATAATTTAATTTAAGATATTTTATTAAATATACGTGTTCATTAAATATGTTCTAAGAAGTCAGACCTGTAGAAAATACTAATTACGATAGAAGGGTACGTGAAAATCAGAAAAATGAATTCAAAAAAATATTAGAAGAAGATTAAATTTCCGCTTAAATTGCAGAATAATTAGCAACATCCCTTGAATAGGAAGCATATACACTTTCAGGAGGTGATAATACAAGAGATTACAGAACTAGAGTTAATACTGTTAAAATGCGCTTAAAGGGCACTAAAGGTGAATTTCTTATACTATTTTAGGATAATTGATTAGAACTGCTTTAGTAGAACAAATTATGACACCTAAAGAATTGATGTAATTAGATATGTCAAAACTAAGTGAAGATAGTGTTTAAGCTTTCTTATAAAAAGAATAAAGAAGGTTACCTCAACCTTAAACCAATATTTAAAAAAATGTTCCATAAAGAGGTCCTCCAACCAGACATCTTCCTTCTGGTCCTCCTCCAACTAAAAATTAAGTTATGCCACCTCCTATCAAACAACAAACAGCTGAAAATTAATACCAAATTGTTAATTAATAATAAATTTCAGATTCATATAAGCTAGATAATTTAAATATCCAAACTTAAATTGAACAACAACCCTTTTATTAAGAATAAGAACTTAATCAACAAATTTAATTTAAGGATTCAAATTCTTAAATATCAAATCAAGTTCCAAAAAATTAAATTTCTAATTCAAATAAATCAAAAGAAGTGACTTCTTCACAACTTTAAGTACATGGAAATAATAAAGTTTAATAATAATAATAATAATAATAATAATAATAATAATAATAAGATATACCTTAATTTAATAATAATCTTAATACATTAATAATTAATTAATTACCATCAAATATTTAAACTAAAGAATAAAAAAAGAACCCTTAAAATTTTTTAAATATTACCCCTCCTATTCCAACAGAGCAATAAAATAATTAAATGAATATTTAATAAGCCTAAATTTAAAATTTTGAAGAAGAAGATTTAACTAATTTTGATTCTTTAAGGTAAAATCAAGAGAAATTGAATTAACTAGCAGAGCAATTAAGATCTGAAGAATCTGAAGAATCAAATTTAGAAAATCAAGAAGATTCTGGCCCAAAATAAAATTGTAATTTTTCTCATCCTGAAAATTAATAAGATGAACTTGAATTTTAGGTTTAAAATAACATTATTAATGAAAATGTTTAAGATTTATCAGAAAATATCAATCATACTGAAAAATAAAGACAACTTAATACTGAAGAATAGTATTAAGATTAATAATAAAATGAAGATTTTTAATAGGAAACTATCTAACAATAAATTATTCATACAGAAGAATAAAATAATTAAGAATTCAGTCAATAATAAATCGCTTCATAAAATCATTCAATTGAAAAATAATAGGAGATTCCTCATTAAGAAATAAAAGAGGAAGAAATTTTGGTTCAATAAAATAATTTAGATTAGTAAGTAAAATAATTAAATGAGAGGATTGATTAAAATTAACCTTAATAAAATAAATAATAATAATAAACAAAACAAATTATTTAATCTTAAAAAGATGCATTTAATTTCAAAAGTGAATAAATATTAAAATAGCAAGAAGAGCAAATAGAAAACTTAGGTATTTTGACATAAACCCCAAAATTTACAATTTAATTATAATAATAGTAAACTTAATAAATAGATGTTACTGTATTTGAATAAATGATAAAATAAAGGGATATTTATTATGAAAAATAGATTAGTTAATTAATTAAATAAAATAAGGACCTTTAACATTCTATTGTTTAATTTTAATAGGATCATTTGAAAATAATTTAGGATTTATAATAAAAGAATGTGAATTATCAAGTTTAGATTCAATAACTTTAAAATGAAAATTAGCTTTTGAAAACGTCTTTATAAAATTAGGAACAAAATTCTTTAAAATAACTTAATTAGTTAAAAGAGCAAATTTAGAGTGAAAGAAAATAATTTTAAAAACTCCAAGAGATTTAATAAATGGAAAAATAAAATGAAAGACATTTTATTGAAAAATTGCATTCAAATACTCAATAAAGAAGAGATATTATTCATAAATATCGTTTATAGTAAACTTAATCAAATTTAGATGATTAAATTTCAATTTTATAAGGGTTATTAACTAAATTATAGCCACCTTAATTACCTAGGGTATAATAATTCTAATAGCCAGTTTAAATATAAACAAATATTTAGTAGCAAGTAGTATAAACATAAGTTACTGAACCTTCATCTACACATTAATATCACGTTCAATAGTAGAATCAATAATATTGGGCTAATGAAGATGAAGTAAACTTATAAGGTTAAATTGTAAATGCAGATTCTGGATCAACTTAATTGAAAACGGGAAATAATTAAATTCAAGTTTAAGATGTGCAAGATGTTTAAGATGTATAAGATGCTTAGGATGAATAATATGAATAGGATGCTTAAGTTGAATAATAAGATTAATAAAATTAAGAAGATTAATAAAATGTGTATGAAGATGAACAATTTGATAAAATAAGTAATTAACAAGAAGAAATTATATAAGAGCAATAATAATTTATATCAAATGAACCACATTTATATCCATAATAACAACAACAATAATAATTATTTTAATAAAATCAATAACAGTAAGATTAGTAATTCTAATAATAATAAATATTGGAACATGATTAGTAATAATCATACAATTCAAATTAATTCCATTTAGAAGATTAATTCTAAAATAATGAGATAGCTCATAGAACTGATAAAAATACTCATGAGAAGCAATAAATTAATGAATTATAATTAAATGCTGATGAATTATAATAAATATAACTCACTAATAATGGAATTCAAGGAAATACATATAACCCTCCTCCACCAAGAAAACAAAATCATCAAAAATAAGAAAATTAAACAGCGTTTGTTCATCCTCGATTAGCTCATAAATAAGATAATCAAAATTCATAATAATAAAATTAATGGTAGAATCTTTAATAAAATAATCCATTTTTGGATTATTAAGGAGCAGAAGAATATTTCCAAACAAGTAATTAAACTAATTTCTAGTAATTTTTTGAGAAATAAGTTGAAAAACCAAAATAAACAGCAGTTCAATAAAGAACAAAATAAACAAATAGAAGAGCTAATGTACCAGGATCATTGTTTGATTGATAATTTTATGATTTATCTATGTGAATATGATTTAATTTTAATGAGTTAAAATTATAATTTTTGTTAGACAAAATTATTAGACTTGATTAAAATTTTTTTTTTCAATTATTTAAAAATTTTATATAAATAGTTTAATTTATCTTTGATAAGAATAGAAATATTAGATTATTCATAGAAGTCAATCTATTTTTAATTTTAAAAAATTCAAACAATTTTTGTTGAATACAAATTATATAATAAAAAATAGAATTATAAATCAAGCAATTTTTTTTCCCTTTATAAAGTCAGCAAATACAGATTGAAAATAATATTTTAGTAAAATGAGTGATTTGAAATCAGAGTGCTAAGAAATCAATAATTGGTTTATTAAAAATACTTTCTAATATGAAATTCCATATTGCTTTACCGCATCCTATAAAAATGATAAAGCTTATTTATCTATACTTTCAACAAATATTGGTTTAGTAACTTCAAGATCAATTCTTTAAAATTATAGACCTATAAAAATATATCATATAGATGGTCCAAGTACAGAATATACAGAAATTTATTTCAAAAATGTAAATTAGGAAATATCTTTTGATTATGCTTCAATTAGTAAAGTTTTTGATTATAATGTGAGATTATAAATGAGTTGGTATATGCTATCACCAAAAAATATAAAATCTCATACAATAAATTTTCATAATTTCATAAATGGTGGATATAGAAATTATTTAATAGTACCTTTAATAAATGATTAAATAGATTATGATTTCATGTAGGAATTTATAAAATAGAGAGAAGGATAAGTAAATGGTTAATGTTTAAAGGATATGAATTTAGATGATCAAAAATTAAATGATTATTTATTTTATATACCTAAAACATAGTAAGTTAATTGTATTTATGCAATAATTTCATAACCTTGGAAATAAACTGTGGATGAGTACTTTAATTTAATAAGTGAAAATTCTAAATTTACTATTGAATAACTTAAGGAATATTATTGTATAGATGAAACAATTCTAAAAAAATCCATAGGTTATTTTTTTTATGAGCATTAATTCAAAACAAAAACTGAGAATATAAATCCAATTTTATAGTTAAGATCATATTAAAATTAATACAATTAAAGAGATTTAGCTCTGGTTATTTTTAAATAGGTAACAACTATATAAAGAGTATAATATTATACAGAAGATTAAGTAAATAGTCTTGAGAATAAATCACAAAATTTGAAGATTCATACATGTAAGCCAAAATTAGAAATAAATACTTTAACAACACATATAATGCCTATATCAAATTTATTTCGTTATCCTTTCAGTGTAGATTAATATGATAATTTTTTGATGCTCCCAACTTTTTTATTAGAATTAGAATAATAATTAATCGTAAGTGAATTTGCAAATTCTATTGGAATAGAACCAAGTCTAAGGGTTTAAAGAGCAATAAGTAGAGCTTCTTACAACAGAGATATAAATTATGAATTATTAGAGACATTAGGAGATTCAATTTTAAAATATTTAGCAACTCTTTAAGTAAGTTTAGGTCCATAAAATACGAATGAAAATATATTATCAGATTAAAGATCTTAAATTGTAAATAATAATTATATTGGTAAGCATTTATTTAAATATTAATATTTTGGATTATTCTATTATGTGAGATCTTTAGGACATCAAACAAAATGGTTTAGTCCAGTACTTTAAAATATTCATTCAAATCATATATAACCTGAGCCTGTAAAATAAGTATCAGCAACTATGTTAGTATCCTTTTTAGCAGATATCTTTGAATCACTTATAGCATCTGTATTTCTAGATAAAGATTCACTTTATGATGTTTATAAATTTCTTTTACATTTAAGACATCCTGTATGTTATTATCCAGCAACAGAAAAATACTATCCTAAATAACCAATAGTTTAGTAATATCAATTTCCTATAATGCATAATTATATGAGTTTCAAAGATTTGATTAATCCAGTCAGATAATTGTCAGAATTAGAAAAATAACATTTCTAAAAGAATTAAATAGAATATTTAAATTATTTATAAAGTGAAGTAATTGAATACTAGTTTCATAATAAATATATTTTATATGAGTCTTTTAGAGTTCAAGGATCAAATATGGATATTGATTTGCCATTGGAATTGTATTATAAATTTCTTTTAAATTCAAATACACCTTCTACAAGAGGACATTAAATGTTAGAACTTTTAGGTGATGCAGTATTGGAATGTTACATTATGTGTAATTGTTTTAATTAGATTATGTTTAAATTTACTCCTACAAATTTATATAAAATAAAAATGGTATTATTATCAAATTCATTTTTATCAAAAATAGCTATTTGCTATAATATTATGCATAATTTTTAAGATCCTGCTATAATATAATTTATAGAATCAGTAAAATTAGATGAGAAATTTACTTATTATAATGGAAATTTCGTAAGAGTTCCAAAAGTACTGTCTGATACTTTTGAAGCCCTTGTAGGAGCTTTATTTATGGATGGAGGATGGTAACCAGTGTGCAATTTTTTATAAAAGGTTTACTTAAAATTTATTCCATTTGTATGTACTTATTTAAATGACATTGATGATCATGTTATTGATAGAGTACATCAATATTCAGCTAGTAAATAAGGTCATATGGATATTAAATCATTTAAACAAGAAAATGGATAATTTTGTTATGAAATCAGAATTGATGGACAAATTGTTGGTAGATTTACTCATGAGCATGAAAGAGTTGCAAAAGAAAAGGCTTGTGAATCAGCATGCAAAAAATTAAAGATATGATTTATCATAAATTAATTATTAAAATTCAACATTTGATTTATTAACAATTTATATATTAAATTTATATGGAATAAATATATTAGATAAATAACAAATGAATATCAACAACAGTTATTATGACCATTTGGAGTTTCAACAGGTTTTAATTGTACTGCTTCTTCATAATTGTTGACAATTTTATTCTCCTTTTCCTTTTTTTTATATTATCCACCTATTTTAATTCCTGGCTATGCTAATAACTAATATTTATACATCTTATCCAAGAACTATCGAACCATCATCTATTAAATTTAATATTCTCTATGCAGATTAATAAAATGCTGATTAAACATTAATTCCTTATTTTGCTGATGTTTCTAGAAATATCAATTAATGCTATTAAGCAAATTACCATCCTTCTTCATATGTTACTGCTCGTCTCTAAATAAAATAAAAAAATATTACTCAGATTCTAAATCTACTTTATTTCCACATAATGTAATCACCATATTTGCATTCCCATTATTTTTTATTTCTTCCATCCATCTCTATAAGTTATGAAAAGAATCTCTTTTTGATATATCATATACTAGTAAAGCTCCTTCATTATATAATCTTAATATACCGATTGCTGATCTATAATAGCTTCGAATAATCGATCTAAAATTTTCTTGTCCTGCTGTGTCCCATATTTATAGTTTGATATTCATGCTATTAATTTTTATTATTTTTGCTCCAAACTCAACACCTATTGTTGCATCATGCTCTTATCTGATTTAATTTTCAATCAATTACAAAACTATACAAGACTTTCCAACACCTATTATATTTTTATCTCATTAACCTGTATCTCCTATTATTATGTACTTAAACATTAGACTATAATTAGACATAATATTTTAAATAAATAAAAAATTGAATTCTTATTTTTATTATTTATAAAAATTATCATTCACCAATCTTTCAACATTCCCCTCTATTAAAATTATTAACTATTTCATCATTAATTTTGATCTAAATTTACTCAACTAATTTTATTTATATTATCTTTAAATAATATAAGTTAAATTATTAAGTGAATAATTTATAGTATTTCAAATATTTATCTAATTAATTAATATAGAAATATTTAGAAAGTTTTTGGTTAATAATATAAGATAAAATAATTAATATTAGATTGTGTGAGAAAATGTATAAATAAGTATTGTGTTATAGTTTATAAATTTGGATGTATATAATTGTAAAATTGATGTTATGATAAATTAAATTAAATTTAGATTTATAGTTCTGAATCTTAATTAGAATATAAAATGAGTATAATGATAAAGATACAATGAATTATTAAGGTGAAAATAGGAGTAGCAATATAAATTAAATATTTAATTTGTGGTTGAATGTCTATTACGGTTGAAGAATTGGCAGCAAATATCGAGACAGTCTTAGCCTCTTTAGGAGATGAGAAGATGTATATGAAAGTATAATGGATAGGGTGAACTGGGAAGTGGTTGAGTAAACAGAGACTAACCTTATGAAAAATTTCGATTAATTATTTGAGAGACTTTACACCTTGAAAGATTCATTATAAAGAGTGTTTCTGATAAACATAAAAAATTTAAGATAATATGATGCCAAAGATTTAGCTTAAAAGGTGAAAGATAAAAAGTTAGAGCCCGTCGTATTGAAATCATTGACATAATATGCATTTAAGAATGAGAAAGATGAGATTCTATTGAATCCTTCATTAATAAAGGGATAAGTGAATAGTATAGTATTACCATGGGTTGGTAATAACTTATCAGTAACAGATAAAATAAAAGAGACAAATGAATGGTTGGATTAGAAATTAGCAGAATTAGAAGTATTTAAACCTAAGGAAAGTTCAGAATAAGCAAAAACATAAGAAATTCAACCTAAAAATGAAGGAAATGATAAAAGTATATAAATTTAATAATTATAAAGGTAATTATACTTTTAAGAGTGATAAATTGAATGAGATTGCATCATAAATTCAAATAATGCATATTCCAAGCACAAATAATATGATAAGCATAAAGACATATACATAAATTGTTGAAGGTAGTGTAGATTTGGCAGAACCAGAGTTTATAAGAATTACACTTGAAAATAGAAAAGCAAGAAGAGATGTTTTATATTCAGATGGAGCAAAATATGTTTAATTATTGTTAGATTATGTAAATGACATTGAAAATCTTTTGATGAAAGCATAAGAAGAAATTTGCAAAAAGATAGATATTTCATAATAAACATTAGAATAGAGTGAAATGTTATTAATGGAAAGAGGTTTAGGTTAACATGTATTCATGTTATAAGCTTAAGCTAGATAAAGAATTAAGGATAAGTTGCCAAAATAAAAGTAAGTTTAAATGAATGCTACAAAAGAAATCATTAGATATTAAATTAAATTATTAAATGAAAAACAAGACTTCTTGAAAAATATGATTGATAAATTACCAACTACATATGAATCTGGATAATTAGTACCTATGGTTTTGAATTTGGTTATGGGAGATATGATATTTGAAGAACATAGCTATGAAGAGGAAGATTACATTTCAAATCTTGAAAATCCATGTATTACTACTTAAAATCTTTAGAATTGTTCCAAGATCCAGACATGATGGAATTGTTGAAATCCATTGAAACAGGAGTCGTTAATTTATTAGGAAAAACAGCATTTGCTTAACCACCTTAAGGTATGATGGGTAACATTCCACCATAAATGTTGTAAAGATAGTAGCAATAATGATAAATGTACATTTAGCATTAAATCATATAAATATATATATATAACAATATTATTCTATGGCAATCAATGCATCAACTAATTTGATCGCTGTACAAACTTCAAATGCTATTAAACTTATTGATCCTAAAACTAGCTCAATTTTGCAAACCATAGAATCAGACATTAAAACTGTATGTTTCTCAATGTAAAGCATTCTCATTTTCTCATCCAAAAATGTTTTATCCTGTTTTGATTATTAAGGACAAGAATTATGGAAATAACATATTGGAGGAGAATCTACCATCGTTTTTGCCTTTGAATATCATTCAATCTATGGCATTATTTACACTAATAAAGATTTTAGAATCTATACATAAATTTAAGAATTCAAATCTACTCTAGATTTTGTTGCCAAAGAAATCACTAAAGTTTAACAGTCTTAATAGTATTTATTAGTTGTGGATGATATTTAAAATAGTAAACATTTTTATCATTATTAGATGTTAATATGTTTCTTTTAGATGATATTATTCTCTTGAAAACTAAACCATTTAAAGTATTCACTGGTAATACTTTATAAATTAATGACTTTGTACTCAAAAATGTACTTGCTACTATTTCCAAAGATAAGGAATTAATAATCTTTGATATTTCAACAACTCAAATGTATTCTTTATATATATCTTTAGCATATTCTAAACTTAATTAGATTCAGAACCATTAACTATAGATATTGATCTTGATTATGCTTATGTAGGATGTGTTAATAAGAATATTTATTAAATTAAATACAATCAATAATCAATTAATTATACTATTCAACCAACAACCTAAATAAATAAAAGAAAATTACTTATTGGCCATTTAAGTGAAATAAAAAGTGTTAAATTATTTTTTGAAAATGGTCACAACTTTATTACTAGTAATTCTGAAGATGGACAAATCTACATTTGGTAAATTGATGGTAATTCAACTACTCTTTCTAGAAAGATTTTGACACTCTAAGCCTAAAAACTTTACATTCTTAAAAGACCTTAGGAATATCAATTATAAAGTGAAGAACAAATTCTTTTTAAATCAAAGCGATTATTACAAACAAAACCTTTAAAAAAATCAAAGTATACATCTAACTAATTTATGATATGCAAGAAAAGAATATAAAAATTTAAATTATCTTTTAATTTTACAACCTAATCTACCTAGAATGTGATTGATCCTTAAATCAATTAAATAATTGAAGAAAATTAGAAATTAAAATAGATAATACATTAATTGTTGTGAATAAATTAATAAAATTTTTATTTCAATATAATTAAGGATGAATAAGATCAATTAGAGTCCATGTAGAACATCTTAGGAAGTTTCGGATCTTTCGAAAGCCTCTGCTAATTAAAAGTTATTAACCTAAAAAATAACAGAATTAGAAAATAATATAAGACACTTAGAATTAACAAATAAATAATTAACTGATTAAATAAATGAATATAATATTGAATTGAATAAAGAAAAACAAAAATCCAAAAATTAATATAATGTATCTGCTTAAATTCAAAATTAAAAGGATCAATAATTACAAAAAATGATTGATGAAAATTAAAAGTTATGTAAAACAATTAGAAAATTAGAAACTGATATAAATAGATTTTATTAAGTCAAAGATGAAAATTTAAATTTGAAATAAGAGATTTAAGTACGACTATAAGAAATTGAAGAATTAAAATAATAAATTCCAAAAAATGAAGGTAAATGGTAATCTGATGGAGCATTAGGAGTATTAGCCTCTAAAAGAAGTTAAGAAATTTTACTATTAAAAAATGAGAACTAAGAAATAAAACAAAAGAATTAAGATCTTTAAGCTAAATTAAATACCATATTAAAAGAAAATTAGTAATTATAATTTATCATTTAATCTGATAATCCTTCTTAAAGACTTAATTCTTAAGCTAGTTCATCTAAATAATATAATTCATCTGGTAAAAAATAAGATTAAACAAATTATATTTTAAATGAATAAGTTAATCAATTATAATTAGAATTAAAAGAAGCAAAAAATACAATAGAAAAATTAAAAAAATAAAATACTTTAATATCAAACAGCAATACACCAAATAATAAACCCTACTCTAGTATTAATAAGAGTAATTCAAATGATAAAGTATAAAAGGCTTAATCATTTAATATTTCAGATAATGATAGAGATATTAAAATAAGAGATCTTGAAAATTAATTAAAAAGACTTGAATTTGAAAAATAAAATATAACATAAAATATTAGATTAGAATGTGCTTAAGATTTAAAATAATTATAAGATAAATTACGAGAAGAATATGAAGCAAAACTACAATTAGAAAGAGAATAAGATAAACCATCTTAAGAATAAGTAATAAAATTAAATCAAGAAAATTAAAAATTATAAATCACTGTATAAAGATAAAAAAAAGAAATCTAAAATATGGAAAAAAAACTAACAGGTAATAAAATATATAATTTATTTAATAGAACTATTAATTTCTTAAGAAGATATTCAATAAAGTTTATAAAAAGAGAAGTAATTTTAGGACTATTTGAAATAAGAAAAAGTAAAGCTTTAAGACTAATTAAAAGAAAAGTAAAAAGAGATTAATGAACATAAAGAGGATATCATAAAATTAGCAAAAGAAAGATAATAATTGAAAGATTAATTGGATAAATCCAAATATGAATCTAAATTAAGTTAAAGTTAAGTCAGTAATAAACCGATTAGCTAAAAAAGTGAGATAAGTAAAAAATATAAATGATTTATTAAATTTTGCACATAAAATATTATTATTATGAAATATAATTCACAGTTAAGCTGTTTTATTCATAAAATTCAAAATTGTCTGAAAATATTCATTCTTATTTAAAACCCAGTTGCTATTATGATCTCCTTAAGGAATATGATAATCAATTTTTTATATTGATTTCATAGCAGCTTAGGAGAGAGTCATCATTTATTTATAAGGAATAACTTCATCTCTACCAGCTAGAATATATATAAATTATATTATACATGAAATAAACATTATCGGTTTAGTAATTTTTGGTATTATATTAATTGTTTTCCATGTATTAAAAACAATTAAAGGACTTATTATTCTAAATAAAAAGTTCATACTTCCAACAACATCAGTTACTTTTGTAAATGAATTTTCAATAATCAAACCTTTATATTATTAATCTTTTGTTTAATTTTATCTTTGATAAAAAGCATATGTAGCTACAGCACCTCCAAGACTTCTTCCATGTGCATAAACATTTTATTTATCAATATTTAAATTGTTGAAAACATAGTTAGTAATAGCTTCTGCATCTTTTTAAATACCTCTTTAATGTGGAGTACCAGTACTCTCAGTATAACCCCTATAAGCAACAATAACGAAATTGCATTTAACTCGATCATAATATTATTGAGCATATTCCAATCTCCATCCAATATCTAATAAATAATCAATTATTTTACTGCCAGCATTTTCATGAAAAAATACAACTGTAGGAACTGATTGATAATTTTATTATTTAATGAACCAACCTTTTAATTTTACACCATCATGATCAATTTCTATATTCTCAAAAGGTAGATTCCTAAAAGAATTAATTATTAATCAATAATACCTATCTTAAGGGGATCTAAATAAATAATTATTGTTCCGAGCAAATTATCCATCAATACTTGGAAGATAAAGCAATTTCCATTCTAATACATTAACAAGTAAGAAAACACATCCAAAATAAATAATAAGCTTCTTACCTATATACTTTATTTTCCCTGAATATGCTGTTAATTGCATGGCAATTTTCCTCAATCTTTCATAGTTCATAATAGAATTATACAAAACTCTTAATAAATATATTATTTTTTCTTGTTTAACATAAATAAATTTATAATGCTATTTAAGATTAAGAATATTATAGGACTCAGTTTATATAATGAAAATTTCAATTTATATATATAATCTTAGTTTTGAATATCTTATATAACGTTTTGGGATGGAATTTTTATCTTTATAATAATGTTATTATTTAATTTATATCATATAAAAAAGAATTTTATAGTAGAATTAATAAAATAAATTTTTTGTATAGTAACTCATCATCAATCATGTTATTATTATTAACTAATTTAATGTCTTTTTTTTGATTTTTGGTTAAATTCAGCAGCTCCAACAACTTAATAAATATCCTTTTCATTATTACAAACTTAAATTTATAACACTCTTTCTATTTTCTAATATTATAAATTTGATAAAACCTTTCTGCATAAATAACATTCATCTTTATTTTTCCACATATCTAAAGCACAATGATAACATACTCCACCATGTCCACATTACATAAACAAGGCATCTGAATCATTTTCATAGCATACACAACAAGAATTGAATGATGACAATGAAATTGATCTTTGTTAATTTTACTAAGAATTTAGAATTAATTCTACTTTTTATTTATCTGATATCATTGAAATGCCTTTCAATTCATCTAAATCTTCTTTTTCAATTGTTTTAAAATTCATCATAGATGCAAGTTTAACCCTTTCATTAACATGTTCCATAGTTTTTTATATCTAAGATGATTATGCTTTATGATGTGTAGGCCTTTTAATTTAATCCTAAATATTTGGATCACTTTTTTTTTCGAAATTTAGATCATAAAATCCAAAATAAGTTTTTGAAATTCTTTTAACTTTTTTTGGAAGCTATATTTATGCTTCTGAATTTCGACTGTCTATAAAATTTTGTTTATTAAATTGCTGAAGCTAAACTTCTGCTTATTAAGTTGCTAAAGTATGAAGTGGATTAATAGAATCATTAAGTGATAAAAACATTTATAATGAAGATATCAAATCTGGTTTAAATTTTAATGTAAAATAAGTGAAAATAATTTAATTGACAATTAAAATAATTCTATCCACTTCAATAGCTATATCATAATTGCCTGCATTAAAATAATTCATAATTGAAATTGGTATCATAAAAAGCATTGAAGAACAAGATATCAAAAATAATAATATCCAAACATTTGTTATCACTAATTATAATTAATAATATTAAACCCAATTATTTTTATCGATTGGTTTATTCTAAAATAACTTGTATAGATAATGCCAAAACAACAAAAATATAATATAATACTACTGATGCTGAAAGACTAAATAAGAGCCAAAACACCCACAATGTGTATAACCATTAAATATCAAAATATCCTTCTATTTTTAAACTAAAAAAAATAGAAATTAGTAAAATGCAAGTATTTCTAATTACATAAAATAAATTGATTTATTGTACTGATTCCTTAAAAAACTAATTTCCTTCATTAATTTTCACTATTATTGAAAGAAATATATTAATAATAGGGAATATATTTGAATATAACAATAAATTGTTATCTCTATTAATTACATACAAGTTTAGTGCTAGTGCAAAGCATCCTTCAAAAAATATTTATAGTAATCTTATAAAAGCGTGGTTATATTTTCTTAAAAATTAACATATATATCATAATCTTACATATTCATATTAGCAAATGTTCTATAAAAGTATATTTGATGGAGAATTTATAATAATAATTTCAAATCCATACAATAGATTACACTCAATATATTTCCATCATATGCAAGTTCAAAACCTAAAATTAATACTGATATTGCATAAATAGAATTTGAAAGTAATGCTTAAGTCAATAATTCATAAGCCTATTCATATCGAAATCTTGCATATATTTAAATTTTATTACACAGTCCCTGATTGTTGTATGTTTTCTGTTGTTTACTAATTTTAAGAATTATTTAAATCTCTTCTCATATATAAAAAAGATAGAAGAGAGTTTAATTATTAAATAATTTAATGAAAAATATTGATTCTTTTGAAGATCAATAAATTGATTTTCATTACTTAGATAAATTTATATAGACAAATAACTCTATATTATTAATAAATTCCCTTTCTACTCTAATGATAATCAACATTAAAGTTTTTACTAACAATTAATTTAAATTTTAAATTAAGAGTTAGCTATATTAAGATAAAAAACTGGCTATTTTTATTTTCTTAATAGAAAGATGTCAAAATCTAATTTTTTTTAATATTCTTCAGCTTTAATACAAACCAAATAATGAAGAATTATAATAAATATATCAAATTATTTTTTTCGTTTATTCTTATTTGATTATTGATTTGCTTAGATTTTAATATCTATTTTCAATTTAAAAAGGTTTTTCATTATTTAATCGAAGTTATCTATATTTAACACTTTTACTTCTCAATTCTTTATTAACATTTTAAATGATAAGTTATGTATCACTTATACTCTTTTTTAATTAAGATATTGATCGCTCTCTTAATTAATTCAATTCTTGAACATGTTGTTCTTATGTTTTTATAATCATAACAGATCTTCCTAAAATAATCTGTTAATTATACTTGCATTTGTCATTCTGACACTATTTGATCTATTATACCATTTTTTTGATGATTTTAATTTAATTCTCAACTTCTAGAGAGAAAAAACTTCTGGATGCTTAAAAATAATCATTTTTAATTTCTCTAAAGGTCCTAATTTTGCTCCAGGCTTTTCAAAAGATAATAATGAATTATCAAGATCATTTTATTTAGTTAAAGTTTGATTAGGTTTAGTATTTAATTAATCTACATACAATTATTTATTAATAACTCTCATTTATAAATCTTATTTAGTTATTACTTCTTATTTTGATATTTATTTGATAGGTTATACAAATTTAGAAAATTAAGTTTTGAATCTTAAAAGTTTTTTATAGAAATCACTTTCCTTCTATTATAATCTCTCTTTGTTTAACAACTATTATAATTATATATCTTTGCATCTATAGAATAAATGAGATTATTTACTTTATGTCTCCTATTGATATTTTATTTTCTATCATTTTCTTAATTATTTTATCCAAAAATAAAGTAGCAGGCTTAACATTCTTTTAAGAAATTGGTTATACAGGTTAAATTTAATTTTATATTTTTTTATCACAGAAACTATTTGAGAGTTAAGATAAACATTTACGAAAAGATTTTGTTCTATTAATTGATGTATTTTCTCTTTTTGGTAATCTTAAAGTATTACTAGATATTCTAGTATCAATTGAACTGAAATTTTCATTATTATGTTCAATATAAGCAAGCTCAGAATTATGAGATACAATAATTTATGGATTTGTTTTAGAATAGAAATAGTCTGGTTAAGAGCTGGTACCTTTTTTATTTTAATTAAAGTAATAATTCATTGTTTATTTATAATTTTAAAGCTCTTCTTGTTATGCTTCATTTTATTAATATAAATTTTTAATTTTTGGCATTCCAACATCTTCATTCATATATATTTCTTCTATAATTTAATTGAATCTAATATATTCTTTATGTTTAGAGTGTGTGATTGTAGAAATATTTTAAACATAAATAGATAATTCATCAGTTGAGATTAAATAATGATAACTTAGCCATTTTAATACACTGATTATATCTTAACATCTTTAAAACTTAAATATTGATTAATAATAATATATTGTTTAGATCCAAAACCAAATAAGTGGTTTCAATAGCTTTCCAAATTTCCATTTGCATTTTAATTTACCTTGAAAATTACTTTAAACTTCCATCTATTATACTAAAAAGATCAAATATTTAATAGCATCGGAATGAGTCATTTCATCTATTATTTGAGAACATTAATCATTATCTGATTCAAAAAATCTATTTAATAAATTTGTAGATGATAAAACATATTAACATAATTTAGAAACTCTTTTTCCTTTACCTTAAAGCAATTTTTTACTAATTTCATAAGATGTAATTGAATATCTAAATTTTTCAATTGGTTTTGTATCTGTTTAATAACTTTATAATCTGTAAGCAATCATTATGTTTTTTAAATAGATTTCATATTCTTATTCTAGATTAAAAGGTATTGTTATTTAATCTAATTTAAGTTTTCCACTGGTATTAATAATTTAAATTTGTTATTCTAATTAATCTTTATATATTGAATTTCTTATTTATTCCCTAATTCTTTATTTAGAATCCGATGCAGCCAATTCTAAATTTTTAGTAATTTTAAAAATTAGAATTGGATAAATTTCAATATATTTATCAATTTTCTATTTCTATACTTTAATATCTATTAGATTTTTTTTTGAAATATCTTTGAGTATAGTTTTCTTAAATATTTTATTTAAAACCATTAACAAAATATTTTAAAAATGTATTCTATCATTTAAATGAATCTAATTGGTATGATCATAAGGGTCTAAAAATTTGGATAA